AGTAGAACACTGAGGAGCCCAGTAAAGCACTGTGTAGCTACATGTAATGATCCAAGTTGAGAATCTATTGTCCCTTTCCAAACACAGCGTTCTTTTAAATGTAGGTAATGGTTCTCTAGGCTTCAAGACACAACACAAAAAGAGCACTCAAATATCCTTACCAAAGATTCTGGAATCTTCCCTTCTTCGCATATCCTATTTAACAAATTCCTTGCCTTCCTGTAACATGTAGGAAGGCAAAAGACCAATTAGCAGAGATTTCTAAAGAGGCTGCTAAGTAGTGGTTAAGTATATTTTCAAACTTTAAAATTTAAATTTTATGCATTATTATATTGTGATTTAACTGTAGTTAAATATTTCCTGTATTGGTGTGTTTGATATTGTCGGATCTGTACTGTCAATCTATAGTCAAGTGTCAAAACAACACCAGTCAGAACCCAATAGTAATAAAATATAACTCCATGAATGTTTCAGAATCCAGATTCCTGTTCCTATTGTAAAACACACACTTACTCTACGGCTTGTTGTGTTCCATTAATGGATACATGTCGATCTGGAGGTGCTATCTGCCCAGGGGGAGGGTCTGCCACAAAAAAAGAAAGGCACCTTTATTCTTCTGAGCAATAATATATACTGAATAAGGAAAATTGACTCTACTACTGTAATAGTCTTCCACACAGCAATGCAGAGAATCAATGGTCTCCATATCAACAACATTGACTAGTGAACAGGACAGCTTTTTTCTGTATCAAACAATAAAATATTATTACCTATTGTAAAACATTGCCTGCCCACTATCAATAAAACAATTTAGCAAGTGCATACATGTAATACAACTTGTTTCCAACCAAATGAAGTTTGCGGCTTATTGACGAGAGTAAACAAACAGCTAGCACAGATACAATGTATCTGTGATACAATGTATCTAAGAGATGGGTTAATATTATTAACACATCTCAAGATTACAATTAAATAACAAAGATTACAGCTTAAAGATCTTGTTTGTTTGAATAACCAAAATTTAATTGTTAAAAATGCCTCAAAGCTTACCTGGGGCAACTTGTATTTTGGCACCAGTTTCTGACTGTAATTTATTGATTTGTTCTCCACCACGTCCAATGACTGAAAGAAATGAAAATACAAGTGAGTTATTTTAAACACCTCATCAGTATTCTCTACACTTCTATATGTACTAAGAGGATTTATAATAATGATAATAATTAAATTTATATAGCGCTAATTATATAAAATATTCATAAGCCCTTTACATTTTAAAATATAAAAATTTAAAATATACATATTAATTTTATAAAAATTTGAAATATAAAAAGCAGCATTACAAATAAAAAAATAGATTAAAGTAATAAAATTTATCACTGAATGTTATAGGCTTCTCTGAACAAATATGTTTTTAGCTGTTTTTTAAAAGAGTAAATGTTTTTGAATGGGCTTTGGAAGCTTGTTCCACATTGATGGCCCAGCATAGGCAAATGCCCAATCACCCAATTTCTTACATTTTGTTCGAGGCATAACTAACGAGATCGTTAGATCACAGAGCGCTTCGAGGAGATGACTTTTTTCTCATAAGATCTGAGATATGACACAAGTTGGGATGTTGAGTGATGGCATTTGGACAATAGGCCACATTTGATATATCAATATTCTAACATGACTCTGAGGCTCAGGGAAAACTGATATATTTGGTGTTGTTGTATTTGTATCCAAGTCTCTTTTGAGAATTGAGAGACAAAAGAAACTTAAAAAATTTACAATTTTGACCTAAAAGCCTCAGAGCCATGTGAGAATATTGATACCTTGAACGTGGCCTGTTAGCTTTGCAAAAATAAGGCCCGTTCACAAAATAAAAGAGCTAATGTTTGCCACAGTTCTAGGAAACAGGAGCCCTTTAGCTCATCAGCCCTATGTTAAACTACATGTACATTATTTACTAGCATGAATCACATAGAGTAACACATCCCCCCTGATGTTAATGTAGTCTTGGAAAGTAAATTCCCTTGAATTTCGATTAGGCTGCACAAACAATCTGCTGCACATTTGGGGAAGAAACAATGTGCACTTACTTAATCCAACAAATTTGTTGGGGATCTTCATGTCTTCTGAAACTAATGACCCAAGTCCAGCTCTACAAAGAAAAACAGGTATATTGTTCATGTTACACAGTTTGTTCAAACAAACTGCTGGATGAAACATGAAGCAGTATAGTATTGTTCATACTACTTTTGTAGTTTTCCCTCTCCTTTTATCCTTTTAAAGTTGTAAAAGAGTACTGAGACAATCTTTGGGGTGTCTAATGCATTTTTAAAGAATAATATATTTTTACTAGTAGTGGTTAAGGCATTTTACAGTGTTATAAATAAACATATAGTGACAAGAGGGAAGGCTACAGTGGAACTGTGCATTGAGTGTCACACCTACCAGAATAAATTATTATTATATATCCAGTGAGCAAAGAAACCAAATTTTTGGGCTTGTCTTTTGGTCTAGCCTGCAAGGATTTGTACAATAACTTGCAAACAGTTATTTACAAGGATAAACTTCCATCTGCAACACAAGCTACCTTTGGGCAAGCTGCAACTATGATGACCTAACCCAAAAGTCCTCGTCACAAGCCCCCCCCAAAATGTCATCTCTTACAGTACAGTACTTCTGTAATTTGCATTTTCCTCTACAATTTTCACAGGAAACTTCACTGTCTAGTCACTGTTGCTTATGGCTTTCATTGCGTGATGTAAGCCAACACTTAACTTGCACAACCACTTATCACCATAGCCTTGAGGAATGAAACCAAATTCACCAGATATTTTGCTTCAAGATACATCATGTATTTCTTGTAAACATGTTAAATTACTTTAAAAGTAATAAAAATGTTCTCTGGTTGAAAAGATTTCAAAACACTTAAGCTTTTCACTTACATTTTTTAAATCTTTTCAACTAGAGAATGTTTTTACTTCTTTAAAATATGTCTTATCCCGGTTACAGCTCTATTTGTACATTACCTCTGTGCTAGGCTTGCAGCCACTTGCATAGCTATTGATTTTGGATCTTTTCCATCCATGCTCACTGAAATCCAAAATGTAACAATTTTAAAGCTCTCACTGAGCTGTACCACCATAATGTCACTTCTAACAATCTAAATATACAATAAGGACCAACTTAGGCAGTACCCATTCTACCTACAACTGTTGCTGGGAATGTGCTGTCAATACAATACTTGTTTTGCCAAAATCTAGCCTACAACTTACTCATGATTATCACTAAACTGTTGTTCAAGTGTAAACAGGACCAAACATATTTCATCCAACATGGATTTGCAAAAATTTTACCATTCTCTGAACAGACGCCTACAATTCTGGCCGAAAGCCCTGGGCCACTTGCCGCTTTTGCCAACATCTGGCCTGTCTATTGAATATTGAATAATTGAATATTGACTTCCCACTTCAAAATAATGAGTCACCAGTTGGTATGTTATCGGGTGTCCCAAGGACTTTTAGCAAGAATTGTACATTACATAATAAATATTGGCGAGTTGTTTAACCTTGCTCCCCTTGAAGTCATATCAGAGCCTTGTGAAACTAATTCTACCCCTGCATAAATTGCTTGTCTACATGACAATAAGTATAAACCTGAGTAGAGACATCTCCATATATGTTCTATTATTCCTCCCACAAGAGAGATATTAGATGTGACAAAAACAGTCCACACTTATGACATAGACGTGTCTGTAATTGGCTATTACATGGGAAATTCAGAACTGGCAGCAACCAATCTGAGAAGCCAGCCTGATCCCTGTACGGCTACAAGTACATCACCAGCGCGGAATATTTCAGGTTAATTTGAATGGCATAAGAGTTGAACATGTGAAAAGACACATGTTTACTCATCAGCCTATCAGTCCAGGGCTGTGAATAAGGGCTTTAACCCATAACACCTGTTACAGCTGAGTATGTTTGATGAACCCTTGATGTTATAGGCGAACTTGCCTGCAGTTGATACAATTCACCCCAAAAGTAACAAGTTTGTTATGGGTGTGACAAGTGAATCAAAACTTCCTGACAGCCCTGCAGTCTATCACCAATAAATACTGTAAGGCTGTCCCAGGCTATTTTAATTTGTGATTTTTGCTTATTTTAAGAAACAATATGCACAAATCGTTAAGAAATTATAGGGCTAAAGAGGGTCTGTTTGCCCCAGAAAAGCATTGTCTGTGTAGATGAATATGAGTTTGCAGTTTTACCTGTCTAGAGTCTAAGTGGCATGAACTATCAAAAGATATTAATTATTTATCTTTCCACACCAAAAAACTACTCCAAGTTTGTCTAGAGGGATAATGCCTTTCTGGTATAAGAATGGGCAGAAGCAGTATATCACTGTTAGCTTTATCAGTGGTATATGCAAAATTACGTCTGACAGCACAAATCCTTTTTCAACACAAACATAAGCTTAATGTTTGTGTAGAATGTCTAGAAAAGCAGAGTCAGAAAATTAACAAAATATTAATCAGAAAGTCCATTGACATCATAGTACTTCGGCACTTTATTTAAATCCGTTGAATTGTAACTTCGAGTCGTTGAAACGCAGGGGAAATTCAGTATAAAGCGACCTTTTTTTACACTTCGCGTTCGCATTCTAGAATTTTAAAGTCGTTGATGGAACTCACCTTCGGTTGCTGGTTTCTTCGCAGGAATCTCTTCCCCACCACCTAAAACTACACAAAATAACACATGTTAGCATCCAAAGTTTAACTCCCCAAGTGAACAAAGGATGCCAAGACATTTTGCGTGATTGCATGCCCATTTCGGTCAGTTATTTCCCGTAAAGCTTACTTACCGTCAAGCTCGTACGGTCTTTTCTTACTGATTTCTGCAACACACACAACAGCAATGTAATTAGTGTGCAATTCATTTAACAATCAACGTTCTAAAGGTAGAGTGGCATGTAATTTCAAAACGTTTGACGACATTTTCACACCTTGTTCCGCCGAAGCCTCAGCTGCCGCAGCGCTACTCGATCCCATACGTGCCGCAATCTAAAAAGAAAATGTTTAATAAATACGCGCATAAAAGCACCTTAAGAGGATCTCAATAACATCAATACCTCCTTTGCTCTCTTTAGTGCGTCAGCGAAGGCCGAATTGGCATCTACAGGAGGCCCTGGCGGTGGTGGAACGTTGTTGAATGCCTGCATTGCGTCCGCCATTTTCAACACGTGAAGAAGAATGAACCGAAACTGTGACCGCAAAGTATGATGGTATATGCTAAAGACATGTGCGTCGAAAGAATCATGGGAGTATTTTTCCACATCTTTCCGCATAAACTTCTTCAATGTTTGATTTATCATGATAGCTCTTTTAAAATTAGCAAGATAGCAAGCAAGATCTCCATTATCGCCGAACGCGTGCGCGTCACGTTAAGCAGGAAGTGAAAATTCTGCAGCCGATCAAAAGGCAGCATTTGCCTTAGTTTTACATTTTCTCAGTTTAGTCACGAGAATGTAATTTCGTTTGCACAAAATATCTTACTGTGCAACCGGCATTACTTGGATCTATCTCAATTAAAAAAACACCAATACAGCCAAAGCGGTCAGAACGAGCGTGCCGCAAAGCCAGAAAAGAATGGTGAAGAGGAGAGCGAGGCCTTTCAGTTTCTTCGTTCCTTTTTCATTTCCTGCTTTTCATCGTGCCAGTGACTCTACCACTCATTTTCCCGGCTTTCACACATTTTAACATAACGAGTCCAGACGCCGCTAGCTACGCTTTATGCCCTCGGTTTTCGGGATGACGTCCCGGGACCACGTCCCGGGGATTACGTACGTCAGGGAAAGGTACTATTCTCGTCTCCAGGGCCACCCCCTGGCACGTACGGCCGCCGTGGATGTTAAGTACTGTGTGGCAAAATATTCTCCAGGAATTTAATTTTGCGAAACGGTGAAATTTTTTTGTATTTTGCGGGAACTAATTTCTGCGATAATTTGCGAAAAGGGACAGTGCTCTATTTCAAAGAATCACTAGTGAAACTGGTCATATGTTGTGCGACTTGCTTCCACCTAAACGTAACAGGGCTCTTAGAGATAGGGGTCACGAGTTCATACTCCCTAGAGTGAAAACTGAACGGGTTTTAAAAACGGGCTTTCGTAAAAGATGACTTTTAAGATTTACTTCTTAATAATTTTTAGCTTAATATAATTTTTTAGTACATAAAATGACTGGTAACTGGCTCAGTTTCTTATTGTCCGTAAAGTCACACGTATGCTGTGCCTGATCTTTTAATAAGGACTTTTCATTCATTCATTCATTCATTCTCGCTGGGTATTTTAATAATCACAAAACAACTGATTGAAATCAGTTGTTTTGTGATTATCAGGAAGTCGTGTTTAATTTGAGTTACAACATTTTTGTTTTTGTTTTTTGTTTTTTTTTTTTTCATTTTAGTGTAGCGGCTAACATCATTTTTTGGCAAAATTGATCACTTAGTGATACAAGCATGAAATTTCACAGAAATGTTTTAAATTAAGTATTCTTTCATTCTGATCGATCAGCCACTTCAAATTTGGCGGTATAACACTTTTTTAACAATTTACTAAAAAGGTGGTCTTTATCTCAACATGGCCGCCATTGACTCTAGGTATAGGGTTAATTCGCAGCCTTATATAGGAGAAGTTAATTATGTTGCAGTACAAACGTTCATTGTCGAGCAAAGGAACTAAAAAAATACTATAGCTGAGTAGAAAACGTTGGCTGCTGGCGAAAACGTCCGTAGGCTATCAAGAGTCGCAGACGGAGCAGCCATTATCATGGCCAGTGGAGCATGTCTGCAAGTATTTTAGAATTTTTGTACTTAGGTTATTACGATAATAGATTTTAGTTTTAACCCTCATATATTACTTGTGTTTGGGTCGAAAGTTTGACATATATTTTAAAGATTCCTGCACTTTAAAACTCTCAGACGATTCATCTCAAAGATAGGTCTTCACATAGAAATGGCTGCTCTTGAAATTGATAGGGTCTTTACTTCAGGACAGTGGTAGGACAAGTGCTTTTGTTGAGGCAGGAGTTGCCTCATCTGGTACTGCAGAATCTTATCTGTCAGCCTCAAGTGTTACCAGATCTCGTCAAGTACATCATATCACAGCATGTTGTCTATACAAGCAGAGGCAAGCTGCGTATAATAGCTATAGAAGAGATACATCTTAAAGTCCACAAGATGTTCTTGATTTCGAAGAGTGGTGTAAGAAACGACGACTCGAAAGTCCACAGTTTGCATTTTGTTTTAGCTCTAGAGCTAACCATTCTAACATTGGTTCCTTCATTCAGAGACGCCAACTTTTGCCTGTATCGTGAGGCGCTGGCAGAACTTATGCCCTATTTCTTTGCAAACAGCAATGTGAATTATGCGTGGTGGCTTTAAATTCACCTCAGAGATATGATGACCATCGATCAACAACATCCAGAAGTATATGTAGCACAAATCTTGCAAAGATTTCTCGTCAATTGCAATCAACCAAGCCCGCGAACAAAACAATGCGGTCATCAAGGATGATGGAGGAGCGATAGGCTTGACAGAGGACCCTACAGCACTCTGGAGGTGGATGATAGCTGGACCAGAGGTGGGCCGCCTTTTCGCTCGCTACGAAGAGGTTGCGGGAACAATCAGTAGAAAACATCACGAACAAGGCGGAAGTGCTCAAAATAGCGGTCTTTGAGAAAGTGGAAAAGCTATTCCCAGTATTTACAGAAATGGGCAATCCTTTTGAAGAAGAGTCCGCGGACCTTCTCGCATTAGACAAAAAGCTAAGGACATTGCCGATCCAGCTAATTCAAGACTTTTTGCTACTCACCATAGCAGAGGCAAAGATCAGTTCCAATCCTTCATTGAAGGACTGAAGAAAGAACAGCACACCTTGTTTTATCAAATAGAAAGAACAAGATCATTTTTTTCAAGCAAGAGGAAATTTCCAGTGTCGCCAGTTCCAAAGAGAGGACACTGGAAGAGGACTGTCACCTATTTCCCAACTCTTCATTTCATGTCAAAGCAGACAGACAGTGTGATTCGCATGATTTCTTCCAGCACGAAAATCAGTCAGCTCCAGCTTCCCTCAGTGACAGTGGAAAACTTCACACATGCCAGAAATCGCGATTGGTTGAGATACTTGTGTCCGAGACTTTGAATGCCAAACACAGAACCAGAGGCAGATGCAATCATCATAGATGGATTACTGAGCTCTTGTCAACTCCCAACCCCCACGTACGTCAAAGACATTTGATGACTACGCCAATGAGGACATCCTTCCAAGAGTTACATCATATTCTACCAAGTAACAAAGAGTTGACATTGAGTTTGATGTGTATAAGGAGTCCAGCCTGAAATTGGAGGCACGATCCAAAAGGGGCAAAGGGATACGAAGAAGGGTTGCACCAACCAGCAAGACTCCCCAAAATTGGCAAAGCTTTCTGAGAGATAACAACAACAAGACTGAACTTTTCCATTTTCTTGCGGACCGGTTGTCCGAAGCAGACATGCCGTGCTTGGAATACGTCTGTTGCAATCGTGTAATTGCGTTCGAAGATTTAGCACCATGTATGCACCACGAGGCAGACCCACGTATTTTTGTGCACGCATGACATGCGGCAATGAACGGCAGAAAGGCTTTAATGATTAAGGCAAACGACACGGATGTGGTAGGTATTGCCATATCTGTCATGAAATCCTTAAACGAGCCTGGTCTTGAAAAAATGTGGATTGCGTTTGGTCAAGGAGGAAATTTTCGGTTGATTCCGGTGCACGAACTGGTAAACACAATCCGTCCAGAGAAAGCCAGTAGACTCCCATTCTTGCACGCATTTACGTGATGCAACACTGTGTCTGCTTTCCGTGGCAAAAGAAAGAAGTCTGCATGGCAAACATGAAATGTCTGTAAGGAGGTCTCGACCACTTTCACCAAACTCAGTCAGTGTGTGCCAGCTCTTGACGACGCTGATCTGCAGAGTCTAGAACAGTTTGTTGTGGTCATGTATGACAGGTCCAGTGCAGATATAAGTGTGAACGATGCAAGACTGAATTTCTTCGCTCGCAAACAGAGGCCGTATGATGCAATACCACCTCAGTCTGCCCTCAAGCTACATTCAAAGCATGCTGCCTACCAAGGAAGAATTATCTGGGGTCAAGCCACTCTCCCTCGACCTGTCACAAAAAGTCCAGCTGATTGGGGATGGAGTAGGCGAGGTGACACGTGGCAGATACTTTGGACTGACATTCCATCAGTTGCTGCAAGTTGTCGAGAACTAACCAGATGTGGCTGCAGGAAAGACTGTTGTGGGAGGTGCAAATGTCTTCGCTCTGGGCTGAACTGTACAGCTCTGTGTAGCTGTTCGTGTGAAAAGTAGCTCCACCTGGTCATCGACTATAGTAGGCATACAATGTAAATTGTATAGCAGCACTATTTGGCACTGTTACGAAATCAAAAGCTTGTTTGAAAAGCTGTTTTTGAATTAGCCAGCTAGAAACTGCTGGGCGTAATGAATTGCTGTTCTGAATATCAGAATTCGGTTGAAGTAGGCATGTAATGTAACTTGTGTATTTGAAACTTATACGTGATCAGAGGTTGTTTAAAAAAGAATTGTTTGGGAATCACCCAGCTAAGAAACTGCTGGGCGTATTGAATTACCGTACTGAATACGGGATAGGCACATAATGTAACCTGTATATAACAACACTATGAGATCATGAGCGCCTGTTAAAGAAAGAATTCTTTAGCACTGTTTGGCCATTTTCACAAACTGAAAGATGTATGGAAGAGTCAATTGTATCTAAAGGATGCTAGCAGTAAAATGTCGTAATCATGGAGTAGTAAACTGCTCAAATGTTGCTTCAAGATGAGTTAAAAGTAAGGATATTACTTAAAATGGCCGCCATTTTATCACATCGCACCCATTTTCAGTCAGTTTGAAAAAAACTCTTGTTAATGCGAATTTCACGTGGCTAATCGACTAGAATGAAAGAATAGACAAATTAGAATGTTCCTGCCAAATTTCATGCTTGTATCACCAAGTGAACAATTGAAGCTGTTAGCCGCTACACTTTTTAACTACATGCAGTCGACAAGTGAGACAACATGAAGAGATGTAAAACACGGCACCCAGTATCATTCATTACAAGTACATCTTGCTCTGACCTGGCCGATTGCTCCGACAATGGCTCAGCAAAAAACTGCAGTACCACATGATGTATTTCCCTAGAGTTTTGTTTCTGAACGAAAGACACGTTTTAAATAAATAGCACCAAGATTCTATGATCTACATGAGATGATTACATGTATAATTCCGCCAATGGAGTAAAGTTCTGCTGAGAAAACTTTTGCCGGCACTTTTTTTCGCGGGAACTTATTTTTGCGGATCGTGGAAATCGCAAAATTTAGAACACACAAAAATTTTGCGCCACACGGTACTTGTTACCTGACTGACCTCAGTCCGCCATTTTCGTGTGTTCATATTCGATTTTTCCCTATGAATTGTTATCGTTTACAATCAGTTTGTAAACGTGGCATCTGATGACTTTCCACTTAGAACACAGAGATTAGTGTATGTATTTCTTCGACTACATAAAGAGAAATAACCAGGACCAATTAAAAGGTCATTCAATATCTGCAATATAACTTTATTTAAATAAAACTTGCAAGCATGCAAGAATGCAAATTGTTTCTTTTACACTACCACCAAAATATCGGAACCATAATTCACCTGTATAGGCGGGTTTTTAGAAATGCGCGCACTGACAGAGCCTACGACCTGTCCTAGGAGACACCTAGTCCTTAAGCTCTTTTTGGCACAGAGGAGAGCGCTGAACTTAAAATACCCAAATTATTGTGAAAGCACCTGAGGCGTTGTGTTACGAAAAATTGTCTAAGTCAAGTTCTAGAACAATCTAGAACCGAAGTCATTCAGCCGTGACCAATTTGTTTAAGAACATTCCAGAACATTCTAATCCTTATGTCATTACTCAGATCAGAAACTTTGTAAAACTACTTAATTTAGCCCCTAATAGAAGTTTCTAGAACTTTAAGTCTCATGTATATTAGAGCGAGAGTTTTTTCTGTAAGAGAGATTGATTCAAATTTGAAGAAGCTTAGTGCTGTAAACTCGCGAAGTTACCTTACGGAAATAAATTAGTTTGTTGCTGTTACCAGCGATCCTGAGTTGTCTGGAAACAACCCTGCTCTACAACGACACTCGTAACACATTGCGAAAACAGCTCCCTGTAGCAGTGAATGCAATTGAGAGAAGAGATCACTTTATATGTCTGTATCATTTCTCAGTTTCGGCGCGCTGGGAAACTTGGACCAAACTAAGACTGCTCATTTGTGCCACGTCACGGGGCAGGAAATCAAAAGTCACCGAATAAGGCAGCTCCCTGCCTTGCAAGTTAACCTACCTCAGTGCAAAAAAAGATTACCATTAGCTGGTATGATAAGTCATAATCATCTTAATTAAGTACTGTACGCCCAGACCGTTCACAGGAACTATCGCCCCTGCAAATCTTGCAAGACAATTCGATACAAGAATAGTGTCCAAACAAGACCTCTTCATCCAATTTAAAACGTATCTAAGTGATTAGAACCCACTATCTTGTCCTTCTCCTAATTTTCTTTTTGTGGTTCAACCGTTTCTCGGTTCAGTTTCTTGCTTCTATACAGATCTCAGCTGCTTCGTAGACACGGAAGAAGTAACCCCAAATTTGCACCATAACTCTCCAGCTTCATAATATGTTTCTGTTTTCTGCAGGTCGCACTATTTTCCACCACAGTCTGCAGCGTCATCTTTCTAGGTTGCCCACAAGAAGCTGCCTACATTTTCTCCTTGATAGCTGTCGCCAGTCTCTCCACAGCTGAAGACAGAATTTTTTCGTTGTAATGAGCAACACACAACCGAATACAGTTTCTGAACTTGTCCGGGGTCGAAGAGAATCTGAAACACCAAGAACATTACATCTTTATGTCTGATAATTAATACAATAACAAAAATAACACAATTAAAAAGTATATTGAGGGTTTCAGTTTGACTTTAAGTGGTATATATAGAAATGGGTTGTTTTCAGTCTAAATGAATCTTTAGGTTTTCAAGAAAGGGAAAAATGAACTAGCCCGGAAAACGCGATACAAACAAGAGAATATCCTATTTCACAATCATGGACGAAAAACCACGGAAAGCTAAACGATTGTATTCATGCAACTAATCACGTTCAATGCTTTGTCACTCTTGGCATCAGCTACAAAGTTCTCTTCTAGTTCTGACAGAATTCATTGTGCTGTTTGTGATTTGCTAATTATTGAAGAAAACTGCTTAACTTTCAGCACTTGAATAAATTAACAGATTAGATAAGGGAATCAGTTAAAATATGTGAGGCGATTGTGGAAAATCTTTAGCCAAGTAAAGTTCTTACTCTGAGCCAGGAGAGAAGCCAACATTGTACTTTTCTCTACAAACTTTCAGCAGCTCTAAACGGAGAAACAAAAGCAAATATATGTGACATATACCAAAGTCTAATCATCAAGACAAGTATAACAATAAAATCTTAACTTCTTAATTCATTGAGAGATATCCATGATGAACAAAAAATTAACTATTGGAATAAAAACGCTCTCTGGTTAAAAATATATTGAAAACATAAGCTTTCGGCTATCAGTCTATAGCCTTTCACGAATGAAAAATGTGGCGCGCAANATCGAGTATTGCCTAGGCAACGGTTTTGAGTTGTTTTCCGCGTCGACGGTTTTTGCTGAAATTAACTGTCACTTTTTATGCTTATAACTAGGTGGGTTCCTTTTTAAGGGAAAAAGAAAAATGGCCTATTCGCCTGGCAACTCCCTTTATGACCAGTTTTTATTCGGTTGGTATCAGAAATTTACCAGCCCTTCTTTTGATTAAGGTAATGCACAGAGCGTATCAGTTTTTGCAGCCGCAGGAAATGGAAAGATTCCCTTGATGGCCCACCGGTAATATAGTACAACAATTAAATAATAGGAACTTACCATCGGCATCAATGTTTTGAGGTAACGTTATCCATACAAATATTCCACCCTGTGTACAAAACAAAAAGGAAGTTATAACGTACAGTTCTGAAATAGCATTTGAGTCAACAAGTCAAACATACAACAAATAGCTGAGACAAGTAAAAAAAAATTATGTTTGTGGAGAGTATCAGCCTGCAAACGCCGACATATTTCCGGCGACCAAGTGACAGCCGGAATAATTGTCTGCATTGGCAGGCTAGAAGAGTATTTACTTGCCTGAGGTTTGGAAAGCTTTACTTCTTTGGGCATGTGTTGCAGGAGTACATCAAACATGGCAGCAAGTCGACCCTGGAAAGACAAGACCAAGAACAATCAACTTTTAAATTTCTCACAAGTGTTTACCTTCTGATTACTCCTTACAATATCAAAGCATATAAATTATTTTAAAGTAGATATCTTATGAAAATAGAGAAAACATCAATTAGTGATTCAATGAGCTGTGTATTGATTCAACATTACTTAAAATCATGTAGCAAATGGCTCTTTGCAAAGAGTGATTACCAGGGGGCACTTTCCACTTAATATGAGGGGTGTACATTTAAAACCTGTTGTTTTGTACCACTTAAGAGTCCTAAAATCTCAAATGACCACCGTTGGGGTTATTGTGGTACCGTTTAGGGTAATAAGCCAAAAACTTCTCAGTTTTTTGCCATAGAATTGCTACTCTACTAGGGGGATGAATTTGTGCCATGTCTAGAAAATTTTTTTGGGATCATTTTTAAACACTTCTGGGGAGCACCCCTTTCAATATGACAGGAGAATTCCCAATCAAGAAAATGACTACAACAACAACACTGACTAGAGGCCTGCAGCAGCTTTACTTGGCTTTGCATCAGCTTGCATTGTTTACTTACATGGTAGCTGATTTTCAGAGAGGAAAGAAGTTTTTCAAGTTGACCAAGTTCAATGACACTAGCCATCACTCCACTGAGATAGTGCTGACTTGAACCAACGTGGCACACAAAAGAACTGAAAAAGTTTAAATAGACAACTTTAAAGACAAAATATCAGCCAATAATAATTATTGGCTGATATTTAAGTAAACAATAATAAAATGGGATACTGGTATGTCCGAGCAAAAATATGTTTGATTGGACAATTTGACCGGTGCCACCCAGGAAATTATTTGAAGCCCTGTGGTGCAAAGGTGTTCAAAAATTCTGTGCAATAGACTAATACACACTTGTCAAGTAAACAATAAATATTACTGTTTACTTGACAAGTGTGTCCAATGCCTGTCCAATTCTCCAATAAAATAGAGACAAACATAACAATGGTGATTATGTCTGCTAAAGAAACTGCAATTACATTCCCATGAAGCAAGATATGCAGGAGTTTCATTAATTAATGCTTTCAGCACGTGGGCAACTGGTTTTCACAGGCAGGCAAAACGTTTTGAAGTTAACTTCTTTAGAAGAAAAACTTTTCTCTAGATGGTCAAACCAGGCAGGCAAAATCATCCTCACAGCTGGTCAATTTGCCCAATGCCCAGTCCTTAACAAAACCCCTGGACATGGTATAATTTGTCATTCCCACTGGGCGGGTTGCTGGTAGATCACAGACTCCCTCCTCCCCCAGTAGATTGTGGGGTGCCAGAAAATGTCCACAGTACACCAAACAGTTGTCCGCCAACCTGGGGTGCCGTTTCGGGGGGGTTCAACTGTCTGGTGGTGTTCCATAATCTTTTGTTTTTTCCTTTTAATCCCTCTTTAAACTTCCTAAAATTTCNGGGGGGGGGGTTAAAAAAGCCAAAATCTTTTAAGAAAAGTATGAACCCAAACGGGAATTTCCAGGGATGGGGGTGTCAAACAAGAGAAGCCTCTGTGGAAGGGGATGAATATTTCTGGAATAACTCATTTACACCATTCCAGGGTTCCCTGAAAAATTGCCGGTACCAAAAGTCGTAAGGGTGGATCAGAGCTGAGACACTGTGAGAGTATTATACACGTGCATCTTACTCAAAAAAACAACACAAAGGCGTGGCCTGTCAGCTTCAAGCTCTCTCTCTTACATGGTCTTGAGTTGTGTGACACAAAGCAACCATAGCGCCACCAAGCATAGCCCATCCTTCTAAAGCAAACAGCTAATTACCTATTTTTTAAATGTCCTAAGACATTTTGCGGGGCTTCCAACCAGCCAATTCTCAAACCAGGACTGAATATTGTAGAAAATGATCCAAGAGAAACAATGTTTCCATGTTCTGCAGAACCTGCTGAACTGAGAAATAAAAGTTGGCTTACAGCACAAAATGATTTACAAACCATTCACTCTCAAGAGGATGCTTTCATGACACACCAGGAATGTTATAACAACAGTCAAAGAAAAAGCTCAGATGTGGACAAACAAGAGTTACAGTGGGTTCAATGATCTATAAATGTCAACAAACCTTTGATCATAGGCAAAGAGCCTTTTTGGTGCTTTTTTAAATGCAGGGTCACTTTCAGCATAGGACAAACAGGCCAAAGTGTCGTCACACAAACACAACACCTTATGCTTCCTGATAATCTCAATAAGAGCATTACATCTGTCTGAAATAAGAAAAACAATAATTAAAAATTATTAACAGAATATCAATACAACAAGATCAGACACTCTACCTGATAAACTGAACATTTCCTGAGGGCACTTATTATTTCCTCAAGTAATGAGCACTTATAGCTGGGAGTTTAACTTTTTACTCTCACTCTTACCAAAAGGGAGAATTTCCTGAGCAGTGCAACTATTTAAATTAAGGAACACAATTCTTGAAAATTGAGTTTGTGGTAGTTTTTGCCATACAAGCAATGAATAGAAACATTGTTAGTACTTTGTTAGTACTAAATGTGGTAACTAGAGTAAAAATCAGGGAAAGAATGTCTATTTATGAGATGAGTTTCCTCTCTATTAGAGATACTAACTTTACCCCTGCCTCATGAAACCTTTTGTTACATTGACAAGATCAACTTTTCCTACAGACATTTATGCTGGTCTAGCCAGACTAATCATTCATTAGTTTTGGATCAAGTCTCTCTGTGACTATTGAGACTAACCATCCACAAGATTTTCACAAGTAACACAGTGACTGTCATTTTTCTATCAGAAAAATAGAAATTGAACCTCACCAACAAGCCAAAAAAAAAAATTTAAATACAGAATAGCCACAACACTTCATTATCACGGTACCTTCTGGGAGTGACTGTCCAGTAGGATTCTTGAAAATAGTCATCAAGTAAACAAATCCCCAGAATGGCTTCTTTTCTGTTGCTGATCTCTTCCTATAAGAATGTGCTTTCAGAAGTTTGTCCAGTTCTTCCACAATCAACCCATTCTCATCAGTTGGAACTTTAGAAAATGAAAATATTGAAAATGGGCCGATTGGATCATAAGATTGTATGGTACAGTTGTAGGTCACTATGCATGTGGTACCACAGTTGCAGAAATATAATATATTATTCGAGATATTTCCAATTTCAGATCTTTTTAAAAGGTTTGGCTAAAAATGTACCCCCATACTTGTATCTAGAACTGACTAAACAACACTAACCTGAAACAAGTTTGAGGCTCAAATCCCTGAAAATGTCAAGGGAACTACCAGTGAGATCAGGCACAAAAACAGGATCCCCAGACTGAGAGAGCACATTGCATAACAAAACAAGGCCTTGTGATGATCCTCCAGTAATGAACAGACGCTCACTGATTTATAAAAAGAAAAAATCAAAAAGGTATTTTAATCTAATTGAAAAGATACTGAAATTAATTAAAATTTCATGACTATGATTACAGGTAACTATTCGTAGTGAGTCTAGTAATGTAATCATTAACATCATCATTGTTATCATTATCATCTAGTAATGTAATCAACACTGATAACCCAACGAGTATTCCATGAATTATCAGTAAGTAATCAACAGATTAGTTATTAAACACCATCAATGACCAATGCGTAAATAGTTTGTTGATGACAGAAAAATGTGGCCTATCAAACTGATAGCAAATGACATTTTGTGACCTATCAGTTACTCAATGATGCCACTGTTTACCCACGAATGCTAATAATCACTCATTGATTGAAGTAATTCATAATTCATTTTACAATTTGATGATATTGATTACAGATTGATAACTTAATTACTGACATCATCGACGTTATCCATTTATTTATGTCTGGATATAATAATGGGAAGTTTCTCGATCACATTATAATCCTAGCAGGATGCCCCAACACCTTACCTTTATCTATCAGCCTGGACTCTTGTAGTCAGTATACCACTATATATAATAATTATTGTTCTTCACTTAGTAACTAAATTCAGCTTAATTTTTGCTAGTCCTAAATTGACTATCTGTACCTTGATACTTGATGTCCATACTCCTCAGCCAGAAAATTGGCTAATGACTGACGCAACTCCAAATTTCCTTGTCTTGGTCCATACTGAAATAAGTCTCCAGGATCTTGAGTAGCCTTAAAAGGATAAGTGATAAGCAAAGTTTACTCTTCAGTATACATTTTAAAAATTATATCTAACCTGCACGTTATTTTAAAAAATTCTTTCCAGTTAATAACCATCAAAATACAAAAACTACAAAATACTTTACACCTACGTTGATGGTTAAACGTACCTTTTATTAATTAAATAGTTAACTATATCTAACATAACACAAATTATGTCTTTGGGTATCATAGTCTCATGGCATCGGAATGGAAGGGGGAACTATTTCCATCGTTTCCGAGTGCCCTCTCCACAGCAGACACTGGGAGACTATTGACCTAAAATTTTATATTGAAGAAGAGTAACGGTACAAGTACTAATATTACTAGTTAAGATTATACCAAGCAGTGCACAGTTCCCAGCTCCATGCCATCTTTACAGATGTTCAGAATAACAGAATCCTGTGATGAGATGGACAAGTCGACTACATCGGAATTATAACAACCAAGATCTTCAAGTAATGTTCCCGCTGCCATTCTTAGATGGCTCTCGTGCGATAAACGTATAACTCACGTCCAAATATTCACACGCTAACCACGCATGATTGACTACGAAAAATTACTTCTGCTCACCTAATTCAGTCAATCATATTGACCTTTTCACCTCTTTTGTTCCCTAAAAGACAAATATAGAGGATGTGTACACACAGTGGTGGTGCTGGTCGAGAGCTGTCGACAAGGTATTGGACTTCTTGGCGCGGATTATCTACCAATCTTTGATGAGATGGCTTAGTTACGCTCCATTAGACAACTTATACGTACCTTTTTTATAGTTGGTACACATTGTGTCACAGTAAGACCTTAATCGGTTCCCAAAGTTGAACTTTCTAAACTCCTTCAAGTGGAACAACAACACCATTTTGAAGATCACGGCAGTAATCACCGGGCGGTCCATTTCAGCCTCGCTCTCGCGTTCTCCAGCCTCGCTCTCTGTGCTATACGCAATACGTACACTGGTTTTTGCGCCAGGTAAGGACCACGTGGAAAAAATAGACCTTTGCAAGGGCTATTGGAATCCACAAAGAAAAATTGGGGTAGCCACGCGTTTTTCCGAGATAATTAGCCTTGAATCTCAACAAAAATGCTGACATCAGCGTTTTCTGAGAAAAAGAAGGAAAATATATTTCTTCACAGATTTCCTTCGAATTCGCCTTTACAAACAGAAAAGCAAACACATTTATAAAGATCTTAAAACTGCATGGTAAATGGTAACAAAAAAACATTTTTTGTATGTTTTCAATAACAAAATCGTTGTAACAGCGCTTTTAGCGTCTCTGACAGCCTTCTTCTCAGGGTTCAGCTAAAATATAGTCTAAATACCTTTTGCTCACAACCAGAGACTAATCACGTGTTGAATAGGTTTGCCACTTCCATTTCATAACATAAAATGTAGGGGGTAACCACGCGTTTTTTAAAGTTATTGATCTTTTTTGAAAACTTTTACGGTGCCCGTTACATACTTTCCTGTCGCCTGCTTAGTAAGTAAAACATTTGCCTATTTCGCACTTGTTTTGCGCGCGCGCTACGCCATCCGCAGGTACATGTTTACAGCTGGATTTCAGTATAATTTTCCACAGATAACAGCTAGTTTTTCAGCTGGATGACGCTAACAGTTAGTGGTTAGCGATATGCTGCTATTTTGGTGTTCCTGGTTTAAGTACGGGTTCATTAAACTTGATTTGGTCATAGTAAGAGAATTTTGCTTTCTTTTAGTTGTGTACTTGGTAGCGTAGTTGATTGCATCAATGTCAAACCCAGCGCGCGCGTGGCGCTTAAACCATGCCTTGTGTGATGCGCAGAAAGTAAGCGTACTAACAAAAGTAGGCACCGTCCTCAAGGTCATTCCCCCGAAAAAGAATGCACAAGAGATTTTCATTCAAATTTTGCCTGTTGGTTGCTTTAAAAAAAGGGGGGTCCCCATATTCGTTTAGGAGCAGGAGGACCCTCAACAAACCCCATAATTCCTTAAATTATCTGCTTTTAGAAACATTTACATTTAAACCACACACTTTACGCTTTGTGAGAGCAGAAAAAAAGGGAGAAAGTTAAGCGAAAAATACAACAATGGATGTACTGCATCAATGTTAAGGAGCAATTTGATGTACGTTTCATGATAAAGATACCGATATTTAGTCGACAGGGATTCAATGTGTTCCAAGCTCGCAGTGTTCTTGAGGGCACATCTTATCGTTTACGAGTGCTTGCTATGCTCTCATTTTCAGTGATAATTTGTTACTCTGCAATGGAAATTGGTCTATATTCATTGTATAGAAATAAGGTGATCGCTGCAATCAAACTAAGTAAAAAAGTCGTTAGGTCCCCTTACTCGTTTCCGAGAAAAGACGATCATTTGTCTCTTGCAACCCAAGCCGCTTAGAAAAAGCCACCATTTTGTATGTGCACGCGCTTACGAGCGCGCGCTAATGACGCGAAAATCGTGCGCAGTGGGGATGCGCAATGCAATTCTGAGGAGTAACCTTAACTTTACAAAATACACCTACTCCCGAGGCGTGCATGGCAAAATGAGTAATAGTTTACGGTTCAACCTCGAACAATCGCCGATCCATCGCATTGAAATTTCAACGTGTCGCGTTTAATGTTCCTGTAAGAAAGCAGAAGAGCACGTTTACTTTCAAACATGGTACAAGGATTTTAAGGGTTGACCCTTGAAGTCTTCCAATTTTGTTCAAATTACTCGCCTTGAGAAAATTATTCTTGATTTTGTCTTAAAATTTCACAAAATTGCAGGTTATAGATTCGAATCCTTTAGAGTACCTAGTTATATTAAAACAGTCAGACGACTCGACTTAGTTTTCTATGAGCATGCGCAAATAGAAAAACTGAGACTGCTGCCAAGGTGATTATCACATACAAAATTCGGACCCATAATCATATCTATAATCCAGTTGTGAAATAGTGTGGGGCAAGATCGCAACAATGATTGTAGCATCGCAATAAGTTGGGCGCCAGAAGGGAAAAGGAGAAGGGAAAGGCCCATGACAATGTGGAGAAGATCAGTAGAAGAGGGACGGAAACAGCCAGGGTGGAGCTCATGGGAGGAAACGAGGACGATCGCAGTCGACCGAGAAAGGTGGAGGACCTCTGTAAAGGCCCTATGCGTGACGAGGCACAAGGAGGATAGGTAACAGGTAACAGGTGAATAGTGTGTGGAAGTCCGAGAGAGATGTGAAAAAAATTATAAGGTCAAACAAAACTGCACCACCCATCCATTGCGTTCAGAAACTTCGCTGAGAATTAAGGACAGGAAATAAGGCAAACTTCCTCTGATGCTTGTCATCTCGAGATGGTAGAAGGTAAATAATTCATCATCTCGTCAGTAATCACAGAACAAAGAAAATACAACAACATATTTCACACCTTGGAGATTGTAGACGTTGTTTCCTTTATTTTCAAGGTAATGACCGCTTAATTTACAAAATTATGTAAAACTCTGGTTTTGTTTTTGTTTGTTGTGTTTTATTATAGGCTGATTCGTCACCAGTCTTGCTTTTCTATTCTTATGATCTGAAAATCGTTGAACTAAGAACATTGGACGGACCAAATCTCGTCTAACAGAATTGATTGACATAAATTGAGCACACAATATTAGACGAACTGGTTGCTTAGTAACAAGGACTGGATGGCGACAAGAAAACCTCAGAACGTTCCAGTCATTTCTGATTGGTCAAAGAGAGTCAGAAATTCGAGGGAAGTTCTACTCTAAATTAAATTAACAAGCACAAATAACATCTGCCGGAGACATTAATCATCTCTATGTCTGTTTCTTTACCGCAAACCAACAAACGAACGAATTATGTTTTACAAGAAAAACAAACAAAGGAGCTTTTCATCCCAGTGAATTTCCTTTTTATCTACATCAGAAATCTTTCCAATGTTTAAAAGCACTTTCGACTAATGGACTTTACTGAATTCCCTTTGACTATCGCAAGAATTCTGACGATGGCCTGAAGTTTCAAAATAACGGAACCCAAAAGGCCCGGATATTGTAATGATACTGATTACAATACACAGGATGCATCTTTATAAAATCGCCGAGAAGTTTGTCTTCATTAGCTGGTGAATATTTACAATGCTTCAGAACTGTCCACATTGGACAATTTTCCTTAATACAAGCTTTGCTGCAGACCGCCACAATCGTTCCTACTATACCATCTGTACTTTGATTTCCAATAGCCAAAGCATAATAATGTTATTTTCTTTCTTGGCTGAGCAGTCTTCAGTAGCCTGACTAGCCTGCGTGGCTGGAGGTCTTTCACGCGATGGCACAATGACGGAGACGAAGCAGTGGGATTCAAAGAGAAATGTAGCAAAAGGGACCGGAGTAGCGTCATGGCAGACGCTACTTAGGCTCGTCACGGGGAAAAGGCTTGGAGCAGGGACACCATTTCAAAAAAAGACCGCCAGCTTCACAGACCGATAGCATGATCAGAACTTTTTATTGGTGTTTAGTGATCATTTATTTATTAGTACTCTTTTTTTATTCATCTTCATCTTGTACCTGAAAGAAAATGACAAAGTTAATAATGTTTGGCTTTACTACTTGACGCCCATTAAGATTAGTTGAAATCAGTTCGATCACCGAACACGTTTGCTCGGTATTTACAAGCACATGGCTGTATTTTCTGAACTGCGAATTCCTAATATTGTTAGAGAGTTAAAAAATACTTTAGAACGAAACTGATCGGTCATATCCGTCTCTTCTCTATCCTTATGGACTCAGCGACAAATATGCAAGCGAAGACGAAGTTTAAACGATCCAAACTGCGCGAACGAAAAGTTTGTATTGCATTTTGTGCACGTATCAGAAGTGTAAATTATGTAACTGACTTACCCTAACCCTAATCCTAACCCTAAAAGTTTATTATCAAACAAAATCGAAACGTTTGCATTGCCCTTTGGTCTCAGAGGATAATGTTGCTATTAAAAATAACAATGTTGCTTTGACTTACCCCCACGGTGGGTTCAGCCTGCAAGCTCTCTTAATGACGCCAGGAAGTTATTAGGAGTCGTGACATGAGTAGAACCTACCAGGTGCAGAAAACAAAGAATGAAATTAACTTTACAAGATTTCGTGATTGACGTAGCATTCGTGACAGCTAAGCTAGAATGCGAAACATTGTCTCTCCAGCGAAGCATGCTGAAAAACGAGTCCCTCAACAAAGATTTTTTTCAATGTTTTGCGCGCATTCGAGCTTACATACAGTCTAAAAGAGCGTCCAAATTATGCCTGCTAAATAAAACAACATCGGGTGAAGGAAGGCTTTTCAAAAGTTACGAACTACGAAGATGACTTAGTTCTTAAAAAGCGTGATCGTCCAGCTGGGTTGACGCAGTTTCGACAATCACATTGTACGAGTTACTGATACTCCTAAGTTCGAATTAACCGTTTCCTATGAAGATGACTCACCGATCAATACTTCCCAATCCTTTTTCGCAGCTGTTACCTGCAATGAAATAACAAACCAATGTTAAGATTACTTTATTGAACCAGGGAGTTGCAATATACTCATTTGCGAAGAAGACAACTTAAGATGGAAAAAATGTTTTTCTTTCGTCGTATAAATTTGCAGAGAAGTAGATTTCGCTTGGTTTCCTTAATCAGTGTTTCCTAGCAGTAAAGATTCACTTGAAACAGCTAAAGGAATAATCGTATTGCATGGAAACCGTTCGCACAAAGATGCAGCATATCATTGATGACCAAAACGCCTCATCTTAACATAACACGACCTAAAATTTCACAGTTGACTTCACCTCGTACGCTGTTCTTGTTTCAGAGAAGCACACTCCTCCAACAATAAAGATGATGAGGCGGGGTCCTGCTCGAGCTTCTGTGGAACCCTAAAGAGAACAATCCACAATGAGGAGGCATCATGTATTGCGCTCTATGAACACTGCATTCGGAGCGACTAGGGCACTGCCGCAAAAACATACGGCCATGAATTAACGCAGCTTGGTAGTCCCATTCGAGTATGCATAACATAAAGTGCAAGAGCAGTACAATGTTCCTCACCTTCTCCTTATGCCAGTGACCATAAAGACGAGCGCTGTTGAAAGAAAACAAAATAAAATACCATTAAAAAAAATGCAGAGGACAAATACGTCTTAATGGACCCTTGCTGACATTAAAACTATGTCATATAAGGAGCACAGAAAACGATAACTTAGCTTAAAGACAGTAGTTATAAATAAATGAATAAATGCATGAATAAATAAATAAATAAATAAATAAACAAACAAACAAACAAACAAACAAACAAATAAATAAATAATGACTTTATCGGATAACACAATTACTGATAAAACCAGTAGTTCTCATTGTGGTCCTAAAAATATATCAAACAACTACAATTGCAAATTTAAAAAGAATAATACAAAGAAAAATACCGTTGAAAACTTATTAAAACTCTCTACTAATAACAAAGTTGTCAATTCTAGAATTCCGACCTTAGTTAAGATTTGTTTTGTACAGAAACAACGCCGCCTTCAACAAAAGAAGCTTCTTTTGACAAAACAAACACAGTGACCACTGCAATCGCTCAATCATTGCTGATCATTTGCAAATAATCAAGTAGTATGGCACCATTATGATTTTATAACGACACTACCTTGACACAAACGTACCTCACAGCTTTACCTGTCATGGGAGACAAAAGTTAAAAAAAAAATGTGTAAAGATTGACTTGGTCTTTCTAGTAAACTAACAATATATTATAACGATATCGTAAACCCTATTTACAAGTGATGTGGTGATTTTTATTAGTTACTTGGGTTCCATGTTATTGCTGACCTCGGTCATGATAGGTTTGTAAACCTTGTGGAACAAATGACCAGTCCCGAATTACCTTGTGCCTCTGTTTCAAGTGAGTTTGATTTACATGAAAATGGATCTCTAGGCGGAACTCATTTTCATATAGATGGTTTCGAACAAAGATTCGTTTTTACAAAGAGGCAAAATGCTTCCAATTCGTCAAATCCGCTACAGACACTAACAGCCATAGACCAGGTTTTCATACAAACTGCTTTCTGTCAGCCCAACACAAACAACATATTTTAACTAAATATTTGAAGTTTCATTTTCTTTGAAGACCCCTTTGCACACAACGATATTGCCGTTCTCTGATTGGCTACGCTACTCACTATCTATTCTCTGATAGACAGTGAGTGTGAGTGTGAGTGGGCAGCAAGGTTGGCTCAGTGGTGAGAGCGCTCGCCTCCCACCAATGTGTCCCGGGTTCAATTCCCGGACCCGGCGTCATATGTGGGTTGAGTTTGTTGTTGGTTCTCTTCTCTGCTCCGAGAGGTTTTTCTCCGGGTACTCCGGTTTTTCCCTCTCCTCAAAAACCAACATTTTCCAAATTCCAATTTGATCCGGATTATTGTCAAGCACTTTATCATGAGCCTCTGGCTCGGGTGATAGCGCAAGCACTCCCTGTGTTTGACATTAAATTTGCATTTACATTTTACATTTTACATGACGACCGCTTCTTGGCGTTTTGTAAGTGTATGTGAAGAAAATTGAGATAAAGTTTTGAACGACTAGTAGATTTATGCTAAAGCAATTGGATTATTCGCTCTCGATTCCTATGCGTGATAGTTGACTCGGTCTGCGCCCTTGTCAACCATCACGCAAAGAAATCTTGAGCTCATAATCTAATTGTTGAATATAACGTGCCCTTATCCCTTCAACCAATCACCAATTCCTTTCTCATCACGTACCTAAGTTACTATTCATTGCACCTGCTCCAGTCCTTTGAGACGCAAAAGGGAACAGAGTACTGCTCAGCTTTTCCTCAACAGCTTCCTGAGACAACAAACCAAATATCGCTTAGTACACACACTACACAAATTGAACGTAAAGTACTCAAAAACTAGTTGAATTTTTCGCAAAATAGTATACTTCTTTGCTTGTGTCTTTTTTATACGACCGATCTTGCAAAAAAAAAAAAAAAAAAAAGAAAGAAGGAAAGAGGCCGTAGTTGCTTGGTTTAGTTAGTGCCATAGTAACGGTACGGACAGGCTGGTATTTTAGACAACTTATAGACCAAGTAGGAGGAACAATTCTTTACACTTATTGTGAAATAATCATATTTTTTCTGGCAACGATCAGAATCATCCAAAGGAAGGCAGACATTGATGCCTTTTTTTACGCCTTCTCCTTTGTGTGGCAATCTGTTGTCCTTAACATTCAACNATTGCAAAAAAAAAAAAAAAAGAAAGAAAGAAGGAAAAAGAAAGAAAAGAAACAGAAAATCTCGTCGCCTCAGTTTTCTTGGGTGCTCTGATGCAAGAGGGCTGCCCATCCTAGCGGAAGCTGCCATTTAGAATATTGAACGTCTGGGAATTAGCTTTCGTTCCACGGAGAGTGATAGTGTAACAAACAGCCCTCGTTAGAGTCGTTGCATTGCGGAAAGTCTTTCTTCCAAGGTAGTCGAGGTTATTGTCTTTAATTTTCCTCCCTTACTCACCAATCAGAAAAAAATGTACAAAAATAGAAAACTCTCTGCTAAGCAAACGCTAGCCTTGATCGTAAACACGTCACGTTTCAGAGCGAACATCTCTCACCTCCATGATGTCTTTTATGATTGGAACCCATCGCGATAACTCATACAGTGATGGACGCTCTTTTCTTGCTGGTTTGGCTGCTTTCCTTGCACCAGACTGGTGAGAAATCATAAACAAAAGAACACTGTGTCAGTTAGTGCAAGAAAAAACATGTGATAACTGCAGTTTCATCACAATCCTTGCAAGTTTTCGAAAATTTGTTTTCGACAGTTTCTCAGTCAAATATGACATTTTATGCGAAAGCAAAAATCCATTTCAACCACGGTCAAGACAGCAGGGCCCAGTTGTTCAAAGGGTGGATAACTCTATCCACCAAAGAAATCACTATCCAGTGGATAAGTGTTAACAAAACAAGCCACGTTATCCATTGGAAAGTGATTTATCGGCTAGATAGCGGTATCCATCTTTTGAAGAACCAGAGCCAGAGCTACCGTGTTCAAGCAGGAAAATCAAAGGAATAAGAAGATTGACCCACAGCTTCTTTGCTAGTTTTGAGCTTAGGAAATAAGGAGTCACAGCAACGAGTGCCTTTTAAGGCAATTATCGTAACACTTCCGAAGATTTTCCAATTCTTATTATCCAATAAGAAACATCGTAAGCTTTCCGAATTCCGTAACATCGTCTTGCCACCATCTGACTACATCACGTTCCTCAGCGACATTCCCCTGAAAACCATGGGTTCTAACAGAAAAAAAAAAAACACTCGATCGCCAACAAAGCGGAAGAGTATACGTACATCCTGTATAATGGGCACTGAAAGATACGCCATGTTCTTTATAATAGCACTGAAATGACAACAAAGACAACAAGAGCTGAAAACGTGACTTTTAAACGGCAACAGTATTCAATGGTCTACTCGACTCTACTTAGAAGACGCGAAGTCTCGAAGCATTTCAGACTTTCATGGCTACCCCGCTATATGCGACAGTCTAACACCTTGAATTGTCGAATAAAAATAAAATTTCCAACAAAAGTATCTCTCCCAACCTTTCGTAGTGAAAGATAGAGTTTTCGAAACTGCCTGTCTTAGGCTTGATAAAATACACTATGTACAAGAAAACAGGAATTATTGACCAACCGGTAATCTGGTGGGATCTGTGCATGTTCACACAGTTTCGCTAAATTCTCTTCACTTATACCTAAAAAAGCCAGAACAACAAGTAGCCAATAAGACATCCTATTCACGTGCACGTGGCAATATTTGTCAGGTACTTAGCACACTGACTGGCCCGACCTCGTTACTAAGGTCTCTCTTCCTCTCGCCCCCATAAAGCGAGAGAGAGGAGAAAGAAGAAAGGCTCTGGGAACGAGTTGGTGAGCGGATTGGCATTAAAAACAGTATGTAAGCCGCGTTCAATATTCTACCAGAAAAATCGGGTAGGGGTGTGCGGCCCGCTTCCCAAAACCCTTACCTTATTTATGACCAAAATCTGCGATATTCTCATTCGAAACCCTATTTATGACCTAACCCTTAAATCAAAACCCTGTTTCAGACCTGCGTTATAATTAGTTCCCTAGTTCAGACCATTGTTAAATTACGTAAACATAATTCGTGAAGGGCTTTTGTTGATTTTCTTTTCGATAATGGTGAAAAAGTGGCTTCTTCTTAAAAACATACCCATATCAAGGCTAGAGCGCAAAAACCATACCCTATTTATTACCAAACTGGCCAAAATCAGCTAAAATCGATATCCTATTTATGGCTAAAACAGCTGAACAACAACAGCAATTGCAAGTGTGTATCGCACGTAAGGAAATGGTCATGATTACAAAGATTGTAACAGGCTACCATCATTTCTAGCGGCGCTTGAAATTCAACCAAAAATTCCAGAACTTTCGAAAGTCAAGGGAGGCAAATAGTACGGACATTTCCTGAGAAATTTCAGACTTGCGAGCTCTCGCTAACCTTTAATCTCTCTAATCCCTTCAGCTGAAAATTCCGTAAATTCTGGGAGAAAAATTAAATGGAAGGGAAATTCCTGCCACTAAATTATCAAAAATTTGGGTATGCCTTGCAAGGTTATCCGATTTTTGCTCCATTTGCCACTGAAAAATTCCAGAAATTCAAACTGGAATTTTTGGTCGAATGGAAAACACCTTACGAAACTCTAATCTTACCATTTTTGAAAATAATATACAGGAGTATTATCCGGATCTTGTCAGAAATGCTATGGACATAAAACAAAACAAAAAAGATATCAATAAGTGAAATGAAATTACAATTAACTAATGAAACGGTCGGTCCATTTAAATGGTAAACACCCTAGCAACATTTGGAAAGGAGGTACAACCTTGGTGGAATGTAATTAGAGTAGTACTTACTGAACATTTGAATCTAACAGGAGTGGAACAATACTCTTCATTGGGTCTTTGATACCTTCACCATCTTTGTCTACTCCGGTTGCAAGATCCTACGACAAAAACATGCAAGGTTAGACCTCTCAAAAAATTCACAGGCGTTGTAATTGTTCCGCAAAAATCCAGGGGGGAGGGATGGTAGGAAGTAGGAAAGGATGCTTTTGTCTGCAACTGAAACCTGCTTCCTCCATTGGTACATTTTGATTTCCTTTTTAGCAAAACTACAATGTGGGTAAAGCTGTAAAACCTCTTAACAAATGTTCAAGCTACATTTGCCAAGGGAAAATTGAATGAACACACTCATGGAATCCAAACTTTGCCACATCAGCTTGTTGTAAATAAGGAAATAGTATGAACCTCTCTCTTGAAGACAATGGGAATGATTAATTAACTTCAGAGCCAAGATTCTCAAAATGTCCAGTTAAAATTCAACTTACCTGCTCAACAGCACAAATGTCCTTCAAAGCAGTTTGGTTGTATTGCTTCATACAGTCTTCTGCCAGGTGCAGATGAACAATGAACTGAAAGAAAAGTCAGATCTAGGAAATTACCGCGAAGCAACATAGGCACGCAGTGCGTGCTAAAGACTACAGACCAATGTAGGTGTTTGAACATATTGCAGGCCTTGCTGAGAAGTATTATCCATAAAGACATGCCTAACTTGCCTATGTAAAAACACATACCTTGCTGACTTCTTTTTGATATTGTGGCATTTTCTTCAAGATTACTTGGAGATCTTTCATTGTTGTCTACAGAACAAAAGGTAAATGTTCAAACTGCCGTGTGTGATGGTGTCCAATTCGGCCTTTTTCAGACAATCTGAAAGCCACACTGTGACAGTTCTCCACCCAACAACAGACCAGTTCAAATACTAGAAATTAATACCATATCGCAAAAATGTTTGTTACCTTGTTGGAAGTTGAGATTTTCTTGTCTGTAGCAAACTCCTTTATTGTTGAGTTCACCTTCCTGGGGAAAAAAAAATAACAGATGAAGAACTATTGCAATTAAACGTTACAAAATCTTTGTGTTAGTCTACAAGACAGCTGTCCATCTGCTGACAAATCTTTGTGGGGGGGTGGGAACCCGGGAGAATAGGGGGCGGGAGGTGCGACAGGAGAGGGCAGGAAGCAGGAGTTCTAAGAAGGCGGGAACCATTAATCAGGCATTAAAATACTTTCAAAAACAAGAACCGAAAATGTTATTTGACATATAGTTAACTTATTTTGAGACTCCTGGGCTGACAGAAAAAGGATAATTCACCCTTGGGCTAAAAACTTGAGGCTTACTTCCTGTAAAATTGGAAACCCTTTTACGGTGGTTATGTCATATGCCATGAAATGTTGTCACTTAAACTGTCAAAAGACGTGACTAAGAGGAGCAAGGAAATGGAAACGTAGGAAATGTCTAAGAATTGCACTGCTAAATGACCAGGATGTATTTTGAGTCTCCTTATTTACAGGGGACAGGAGCAAGACGGACAAGGGCAGGAGTCTCAAGATAAGGGTATGGGAAGCGGGAGAGCAGGGTATGGGAAGCGAGATAGCAGGGTATGGGAAGCGAGATAGCAGGGTACAGGGAGCGGGAGGTTCTGATCCCCCCCCCCAATCTTTGTGTATAAATTTACAAAGTAGCATTCCTCAATTTGCTGGTGAATTGTACCACCAACTAAAATATTTGTTCAAAAGTATATGTACACTGTACCTCAAAACATCAGCAATGTGTTCATGACGATGCTTTACCCACATTTCATCATTATCTGTACATTAAAAATAAAAGACAAATTAAATTTATCTAGAAGTGTGATAATAGTATCACTTATTTACATAAATGCCAACTAAATTACCCTATAAGCTTTATTTCTGCAAAAAGTTCCAAAACAGAGTAAACTTACCATCAAGAATAGTTTCCTTTTCTTCATTGCCAGATGATGAAATATATCTATCACCAGAAAAAGAAAAAAAAACTGTTTTAGCTATTTTAATGTACTGGTAATTTTTAGCAATTATGGGTAAAAATTACTGGCACTTAAAGAACTAAAATGTGTGTGTTTGGATGTAAAACTATGAAAACATACGGCTAAAAACGACCATTTAAGATGAGATTAATGAATTATGGGTTAAGTAGAGGTTTTCACTTTTTCATCCACCTTTTATATCATGGATGAAATACCTTTAAGTGCAACCTTTGCACTTAACCACATCAATGGAAAACTATAAGGAAGGGACTGGAGGAAATAAGTTTCCGCCAAAAACATAAATTGAAAGGTAGCTTAGCTGGAGAGACAGCAACTATCAATCCATTCTGGATGTGATAATTCAAAGACCTAAATTAAAAACTCAGTGTAATTCATGTACACTGCCCTAAAACCACTGACCACTAATGTATACTAACTGAACTATTGGGGGTGGTGCTCTTTGTTGCAACATGTGTGAAAAAACTTCATTTAAAACTGTATAACATTAGATAAATTTGCACTTGAAAATAAAACTCACTTGTACACATCATTGACAATATGAAGGAGATCATAAGTCATAGCCTAGACATACCAGAGACAAAACAACAATGTTGCTAAATTAGTGATTACAGGTAAACCCTGTGCATTATAATGTAAACTAGTATTATAAAAATTAAAGAAACAAAATCTGTATAAATAATAGCAAACCTGAAAAGTGAGTTCATGCAGCAGAGGAGAAACTGGATCAAATCCTCTGCAAAAAAAGGCAAAAAATGAAGAAAATGGAAATAAGACTAAAAAAGTTCATAACAAGGGTTAATTTGAGCAAAATTACTAGAGACTGGGTTGACATCTGCATTGTCACAAGTTTAACATAATTACCAGAAAGTCAGTGATATATCAAGTTCCACTGCATACACTGTACCTCAAAGGTTCAGTGCACATCCCACAATAACAGCACATTTTACCACCAGTACATATTATATAACAGTTACTACCCACTGAATAAATACCTGTCCAGTAAGATCAGCTGGGAACGATGCTTATGTGGTCCCTGCAAGTATGCAAAACACTCTTTTTTCATCAAACAACATCAAAGTACAAAACATACTAGTTAACTTTGGAAAAGTACATGGTACAATAATTTACTTTCAATGGAACGTTCAAGTATTAACCCTTGTTAACTACTTTAATTTGAATTTAGAAGGGACTTCTTTTTTCATTACTAAGTGCTTAGAAGGGTCATTACTTCAGGGGGGGGGGGGTGCTAGTATCATAAAATACATCGATACAAAATAAATCTGTATTTGGGCCAATTCAATGTTCAGTTACTAATAACATCTACTTTTCTAAGGTACATATAATGATCCTCAGACAATCTGAGTTTCTCAACTTGCATCTCCCCCTACAGAGAGAGAGGTAAGTTGGAGTGAATGATTTTGAAAAGTCTGAGAATCGGGCTATAGATATACAGTAATTATTAAAACGCTATATTTTCATAAAGATGTGGTCTGTACAAGTTGCGGCCAACTGTTAGCTTTTTTTCTAAATTTAGTTACAACTATAAATTTTGATGCAAAAGGGTTGCAGCATATATCTTTGTAATATTCATTACATTTCCAGCATGATTACTTCTAACATCACAAGTGTACGTGTCGTACCTCCCCCATTCCAGCTGGATCATCAGCTTTGTATGCATGTAGTTTAGTTTGCACAGCATTGGCCAATTCAGCAAGATGAAGACCATCCCTGTCAAAAATTTGGAATTGGCCCTCTCAGTGACTATCAGTTGTTGTTTTATTAGTTTTGTACATCAAGTGCGATGAAAGACTGATAATTGTTACTTAATGATATTTATTGGTTTCAAATGCTTTGCTTCCAACTGGAAGTTGAAAGCTATTCATGATAACTGGACAGGACACATCCTTGGCCTGGAGGCAGGCTAAACAACTGTGGCATCCACCACTTATGCCAAGTAATCTCCACAAAAGATCAGTCTTGTTGAATAACGTGACAAGAAGAAAACTAAGGAAATCCATGAAAGGGATGATCCAAGAGTGGAAAGGGCAATCTTTTTGAGCAGATTGAAAGATGACTACCAAAAGAGAAAAACATACACGTACAAGATTAACGTCACAGTCTTAATTTCAAATTCCAGTACTTACTTCCTGTATCTGACTGAGGGATATTCCCCCAATGTAGCACACAAAGTGGCAATTTGTTCAGCTATTTTCTGCAGAAAGGTTATCATAATTCAAAATATATTATTAATAGAGAACCATGGTGTTCTCATTTTCTAAACCTTAAACAGAGGCTCAGTGGAAATACGTAAAACGAGCATGAAATATATTAAGATTGAGTAAACACAGTGTGTACAAACTCTTGAATGAAAATGCTACTTGACTGTTCTTGACCCTTTAAACTTTGCTAGAAGGTTAAAAATTCTGCAAATAGCATTTCACACAAGAATTTGATGTTGATGCTACTAATGTTACATACATGTTGCCATAAATATGAATACAAAAAGAGTTACAAACAGAACAACTTTAGCCAAATAAAAATATTTAACAGCCGCAACTTTGTACCTCTAAATGTGATTCCAGTGCACTCACAGTTGAAAATGTTTTAAGTTGAATGCTCCTGGAATCACTCTGAAGTAAACAAAACAATAACAGAAGCACACACAAAACATTGAACTCACAAAAAAGACTGGTAACAAAGAAGCAATTTACTTTATGAGCTGTGTATCTGGAAACAACTGGTAACTGTATTACAATTTGAGCACTAACAACCACTGATTATTATGTGTGCAAGGCAACACATGCTCTATCTATCTAATTGTATGATATATAATAAGATAATAAATTATTTCATTTACCATTTTCAAGTTAATAACTAAAAGCAAATGAAACGGCTCAAATATTAAATAATAAATTATTTGTCTTTTTAGCTACTTAGGCTGTGACCAGTGCTTGTCATAATAACCACAACGAGCAGCAGAAAACTGCTTGGATACAATCAATCTTTTTACGTCAGGTGATGAGTAAGAGCACACCAGTAGGATCAGTAGTAAATAAATTGCTGTTGTCACATACAAGCTTCCTTCTTCTTTTTGTTAGATATCAGTGTTCAGTGACAACGTAAATGAACATCTGCAGAGGGGGCTTGTAATGGACATGATTCGGACAGCAACTTCATAATTGAATGGCTTGGTGAAAAACTATCAATGGTGAGGGGAAAATTTGCATGAAATATTATTTTGCTCTAAATAAAAACATTTCCTCCATTTTGTTTTCCTGGTTTGCACTTCATTTTCAAGAAAAACAAGTCAGACTAAAATATCAATGTGGCACTCAGCAATTAGCTTGTACAGATATGTAAGTACCTCAGAATACTGGAAGCGTTGGGCTTGGTCTGAAGGCTCAGGACCATAGAAACTGTGAAATGCTTTAGGAGTGTCCAAGGAGTAAACCTGAAAATAAACAGCATTAAGAAAAATTAGACCCTATTTAAACCCTGGATCTTAAAGATCTCATTATCCAGATAATTAAACAAAATTTAAATAGTGGTTGCAACTTTTGAGTCTGTCAGTGAAAGTTCTCTGGAGTATCTACCATTAAAATAAAGGCTACCAAGTAGTAGCTTTCCAATGGTACTATCAGATAGCCGCACAAAACCAGATTTATGAAAATGTGATTGCACATTCATTTCAGACTCATTATATAAGGACAAGTTTTGAAACAGAAATGAAACTCAACTTGGAAATGTCCAGGTTACCCCCAAACACTGATTATTACACTAAATGCTTCCATTAATTGAACAATGGAAAAGTCTACTGTGGACAAACTATTCAACATGTTAGTTCTATGAATTAAAATATTTTATAAACAAAATACTGAACATTGTATACCTGAGACTCATACGGGAGAAAGGCAATGTTTATCTCTTTCAGGGTTTTCACATCTATGATGAAAAATACAAAAGTTGAATTCCTACAGAGTGTACAGTCAAGATGCTGCTTACGGACACCTCTTGGCCAGTAGGCAGACATAAGCAGACACTCACTATATTCTAACCTCCCCTATGTGGACACTGATTATCAACTCCATAGTTCAGAAAAATAGAAAATGAAACCTTGATGACAATAATGGATTCCAAGGGATCACTAGCCTCACAAAATCCCCAGCTAAGTTTTCTATAACAGCTGTCATTTGTAGAGTCAGGCAGCAGAAATCCTCTGGTTTGGGCCCCAGTGACTGTGACCCCAACCCCTTTCATCTAAAAGAGTATGAACCAGTGGTTTGTTTAAAATACTTGAATCTGGTTGTGATAAAGATCATTTGGCATTAAAACTCTTCCCTGTGCTTGGAGTTTGCAAATTAAAACATAGCCAGTAATTCTTCAAGTGATATTTTCAACAATGATGTCACAATGTCATTGGACCCTAATCACCTAATTAAGAATACATTGTGTGCTGCACAGAGATACATATGTGCAGGTAAATACTCACATTTAGAAATCCTGGAAATTTCACTAATCAATGAATCTGGACAAACTGAAAAAGAGAATGCCAAACATACATTTTAAATATGTTTACCATACAGACAATGTACATTTTAAATTGATGTGTCTGTTGAATGATCTAAATGAAACAGTAAAAATTATTATCTTTACTACAGACATCAATGTACCTCTGAGTGCCATTAAAGGACAAATCTGAAATACCAAATCCTGTATGTACATAAAGCAAGTGACACTCTATGTGACTTTTAAAAAATAATTGATTTAAATTTTGGTTTGTTTTAAATTTTTGAATCCATTTTTAACTACCCTTTATCTAACTTCACTATCAGATCTGACAGTAAGGAGGCAGGAATCAAACTGGTTTGTGAATTTACAAATCAAAACCAAATTTAAATAATGTAACTATATCATACCTTCAGTGAAGAATACATGAGCCCCTTTGTATCTGTGGTTTCCTTCAGTGAAGTCTTCAACCAAAGCTCTCACTGACTGTGTTCATAAACAAATATTAGATGACAACATTAGCTTTCAAGCTTTTTGTGGAGTTATGATGCAGTGTAGCTGTTCCAAGCAGGATGTAAACAAATTCATGTCTGATAACCCAGGGATAGTGGATTTTGCAGTCTGACTAGTGGATTCTGTCCTTTGCTTCCCAGAATAGAGATGGACAAGTTTACAATGTTTTCGCAGGAAAATTATGTTGTTAGTAAAATTAATTCTGCTGCTGGTGCAATGATGTTTGGGATATCTTGTGCATCATTAAGTTACAGCTTGTCTGAAGTGCAAGTTCAAAAACTTGTTTTCTTTGTCCTCTACCAAGTAAACAGTTTAATGACAAGACAAATTCCAGGCACAAATATCCGCTGGTACATGTACATTGCAAGTTTTTAAAACATATATTTAAATAGCAGTGAGTTGGCCTCTTTAGCTGACACATGTACATGTTATGAATTTTGTGACTTACCGTTTCCTCTGGTGTTAAAATGTAAATGGCTTCAAAGTTTGGTAGTGGTTGGCGGACTTTAGATATATCTTCAACAACTGAAAAAAGCATGCCATGAGACATACAGTAATAAATACTACATATGTATGTACATTAAATTATATATACAAGACCTTATAGGCATGTGACTCAATTAATAAGATATACTCATCAATGCTCTATCCAATCTCATAGACCATTTTATAGTGTCTGCACACTGACCTGGCCTTTGACTGGAGGTGACTTTGTCTTGATACAGACCTCACTACTTTTGTTGGGTAAATGAAGTTGTTCCAATGCTATATACTTTACATTTAAATGAGAATTAAACAGAGAGGTTTATATCAAAACAAAGTCACCTCCAGCCTCTCTTGCATTCATAGGCCAGGTAGCTGAGCACACAACTGTAAAATAGATTACGCCCTACATACAGCACAGCACAAGATGCCATTACAACACCTCTCTTGCACTGTAAGGAGGTTATAACCTGCACAAATATCCATTGTTACAAGTTACCCAGTTAGGGTAGCAAATTCATCATGCCAAAAGGGCAATGTGAATGAATTGTTTGGACCAGCATGGAAAAAGTTTGAGGTTTGATCTGCCAAATAAATATTCTGCACTGATCTGAAGGGGTTTAGCGAAGTTGACTTGCTTGTGACTTGTATGTGAGTTCTTGGGGGAGATATTATGACATTTTGGTCATATCAAAAAGAGGAAGTTCATCTACACACAAAATGTCCAGGGGAGGAGGGTTCAACAATCACATCACCCTACAAAAATCTGAGGGGGCTTCATCTGAAGAGATCTCATGGGTAATACTTCAGTAGCATGGGCACAGATATTAAAAGGGATGACCCAAACCCACAGGCTTCAAACAGATTTAAATCTGGATCAACAATGTTCAAACACTGCTTAAGCCAAGATCACTACATCAAAAGCTTAAAGTAGCCTCGTGAACCAATCATTTGAGTCATTATTACCTAAATTATGTACCTAATTTTCTAACTTCGTTAAATTATCTTTCGAAGGTAGAAAGCAAAAGTTGAAACAGTCCAATATTATTTACATTTTATTAATTTCCCTAATATGAACACAACGTTTCTTAACCTGAACTGTGAATGAATCTATGCAGTCTGAATGACTTCTAAGTAATGCAATAAGTTGCTATGAGACACAAAGATAATAAACCATTATCACAGTTAAAATCAAAATAAATCAGTACATAAAGCTCAATTTAAATTTCTTATTATCAGTGCCTCACTTGTTATGCCTTCCTCGACAATGTCGTGCATCTTGCAGCATGATGAGATTATTCTAGAGCTCAGCTGATCCACGACAAGAACCTAAAGTTTTAACGAATACAAATACAGTTTGCTTGTTGTATTTATTCGCACTTCGGCCAGCCACAAAAGCGAATGTAAACATCATATTCACGAGTAAATATTATGCACACTACCAGCTCACCTTCCACTCGTTAGGCTTTTTATTTACGCGAATCACATCTTGCATAATACCTAAACAACACACAGGAAATCTAAGATTCAAAAGGAATTCAATGAAGTAAACAGAATTTAGAGAAAGCGTAGACTTACGTTGTCCCACCACAGCTTTCAAAGACATGTTTGCTTTGGTCTCCTTTGGTCTGGAAAAAGATGGCGAATAGCTTAGTAGCCTCGCCAACTGGGCGGTGCACACTTACTCGCGCGGGGCGTGGGAGGAATCTCGCAAGTTTACAGTGGGACCTTCCGCAAGCAAGCGATGATCGCTTAGATCAAGACTGTACTTAAATTGAACCGTCTTCAGCCTCAAGACTAGAAATAATATTCCCCTCTGATTTGTTCTTTTCAACTCGTTAATAAATGCGTGAAGTGTGGGAAACTTCTTCTAGTTAAGGTTTTCCACCCTGAGGTTTACCAAAGTGCATTCGTGGGCCAAAGAAACCGATTTCTTTTCAAAAGAACTTGATTGTATGAGCACCACAACTACCAGATTTCATTCGGCTTTGCTTCAATCATTTAAACTTTCAAGTTGTACAACAGTAGGGTTAAGATAGCAAGTGTTCTTCGCCTGGCACCAGTGCAGACGCATTTAGGGCGAGCTTATGCACCACCATCTTGGATTAGGTAAACGGTAGAGCGTTGGGGCGAGGGAAAAATAGAGTTGAAGCTGGGATGGGGAGGGAAAGGAAAAAAATTCTCCACGTTGTGCGAACTCGCCACCATCCTGCACTGCGGGCTAAATTGTCCTAATTAGCATGAAAAATAATAAATGCGAAGGCTTTTGATCGTTTTAGCCAGCTGACCCTGTATGCAAATATTGCTTGGTGAGGTTTGAATCAATAACGATCAAATACTGCTCCCCGTGGAAAGGTAAGCAAGACGAGAACTCGTTTGTCACCCCATTTGGGAAAAAGGGTTCTATTTACGCAACTCAGGTTGTATCAACTTCAAATATGCAAACAACTTGCTACAGGTTGCTTCGGGTGAATTTGAGGTCAAGGTTCGATCCGTTTTTCAGCAGTGAACACCATTGCTCTATGATTATGGTCTAAATAGTGCCATTCGTGTTTCCCTTGTGTGTTTTGCTCTCCTTGTTTGATTTCAAGGTAAATAGGCTAAACAGAGAAAGCTAGAGAAGGTTCCGTTTGGCTGGTCACGGATTGTGAACTTTCTGTGTGATCATACTGAATCTACACAGCGGAGCTTTTTTCTGCGTCCCAAGGGATCCCCGCCTCAATGACATCTTCCTCTTACAACGAATTGGGTAGTAGTAGAAGTAGTAGTGGTAAATTTTATTTGAGTGTCGATCGATCTAGCGTTTCTCACACTATCTGGTGACACTAATTAAGAACTAAGATAAATATGCAATTACAAATTAAGAATTATTTAAAAATTACACGTTTCTGGTCGTTAAAAACCTATCCTAAATACCCAATACACACTCAATTTCCTATCGGGTTGAAAGTTTTAGGCGAAGATTTCTATTTAACAATCGATTCATGAAAGTGAAGAATGATCATCGCAGTTAATTTTCCAATTTAAGCAATCGGAAAGAAGAAGCCTGAAAAAATCAGGGCTTCAACGGGATTCGAAC